AGTTTCCTCGGCCAGACGCTTCCACGTTCCCTGGCTGATAAATGAGGATGCCGTACTTACGGCATGCACTTCTGCATCATCCGTGCTGACGTCATCCCTGCCTTCACTGCTGGGTGCTCTCGACAGCATATCTCCGAGCATGAGCTGCTTCCCTGGAACTAAATGCAGTTCAAAGTTATATCTAAGCAATCGCATGAAAAAACGTTGCAATCTGGGTGGCATGTCGCCGATCGCGTTCTTTGATATGGCAATTAAAGGGTGGTGGTCCGTTTCAACGATGAACGTTCGGCCGTACACAAAATGGTCGAACTTCTCGCAACCGTATGCAATGGCAAGAGCTTCTTTTTCTATTTGGGAATAGCGTGTTTCTGCTTCGGACAGCGTTCTTGTCCCATATTAGCTTCGTCCTCTCAGATAATGTGGGAATAAATTTGCCGAAGTAGTTCACAACGCCTAGCATTCGTTGTGCTGCTTGCTTGTCGCGTGGCTCAGGAATTTGCAGCATTGCCTCAATAAGTGAAGGATTTGGCCTGATGCTTTCCGCAGAAATTACATCGCCTAGGAAGCTTATCCGATTGACGCCAACGATGCATTTAGCTGGGTTAAACGTTATTCCTGCTTTTTCTGCCGCCTTCAGCAGCTGCCTCAGTCGTTGATGATCCCCAGATAAGTATGTCATCGACATAGACTTTAGTTCCAGGCCAAGCCTCAAAGATGTCGATAAGGGCTTTTTGAAAGACCTCAGAGGGTGCTGATATGCCAAAAGGCAATCGCAAAAAACGGTAACGACCGAAAGACGTCGTGACAGTGCAGATTTTCAACGTTTTGTCATGCAGTGGAATTCGGTAGAATCCTGAATTGGCGTCTAATCGCGTGAACACCTTAGCCCCTGCGAGCTCCGATTCGATATCTTCTCTCCTTGGCATTTCGAAGTGTTCCCGCTTTATGGCCTCATTAATTTTACGCGGATCCATGCAAACGCGCAGTTTCCCGTCCTTCTTGCGCACTATGACGAGAGGGCTCACCCATTCTGTAGGTTCCGTGACCTTGACAATTATGCCTTCCCGTTCCATGCGATCCAGCTCCTTTCGAAGCGTCTCCCTCAAGGCCAGCGGTACTCGGCGGGCTGTCTGGACGACTGGGAGCGCTCCTTCGCGTAGGACCATGCGGTAGTAGCGTTGGAGACAACTTGTGCCAGAAAAAAAAGATGGCAACAGTCTTTCACTACTGCTTCGGAACTGGTTCGCGAAACGGTGTCCACCTGTCGCGCGATTATTCCGAGCGTCTCGCATGCCTGCAGACCGAGAATCGCTCGAGTTCCCTTGTGGGCAACGAAGAAGTCCTGAACGGAAGTACGGTAATGCAATGTCACTTCTTGTCCTCACGATAACCATACGTTTGATCTCGTTTCCACCGTAGGAGCGTAAGACGGCACTGGTGGACTTTAACAGTGGCTTGGGGTTCATGCTTGCGTACAACGCAGCTGGGAGCAAATTAGCCTGAGACCCTGTGTTCACTTTGAAAGCAATAAGCTTTCCTTCCACTTTTGCCGTGACTATTCCAGTCTGATCGACTGCTCTTACTACCAATCGCGAGAATTTCAAAATCATCATCGCTTCCTTGCAGTTCACCTACTTGCGGCTTTGTTTTGCAGCATACGGCAAAGTCAATTTTCTTATGACACGCGCGGCATGTCTGTCCATACGCTGGGCATTTGTGCGATGCGTGCGCCCGACCACACTTTCGGCATTTACCGCTCTTCTGCTGCTTAGCCTGTGAACTGCCACTTGTCTTGTGCACGGTATCTACTGGTTTCTGCTCTCGCGTCCAGATTTCTTGGTTTGCTGCCGCTATCTCAGCTGTCTTGCATACTTCTTCGGCCTTTTGTAAGGTTAACTTGTCGGACAAAAGCTTCTCTCGAGTCTTAGCTTCGTTTGTGCCAAAAAACAATTTGGTCTCTTATCATTGAATCTGCTCTCCAAAATTGCACGCTCCTGCCTTCGTTTTCAAGTCTCGTAAAAAATGTTCAAAAGGCTCACCTGGTTCTTGCTTTCGGGTACAGAACAGATAACGCTGATGTACCTCATTGACTTGAGACGCACAATAGTCGTCGAACTTTTTGATTACCACGTCGTAGTCATTCTTGTCCTGGTCTTCAGTGAAACTGAAGGTGTTGTACACCTCTATGGCTTCTTCTCCAGCGATGCTAAACAACAGCGCAGTTTTCGTAGAAGCACGTCGTGCTTTCGTAGGCTCTGTCGCTGTCAAAAAGAGCTCGAAGCGTTGCTTGAAAAGTACCCATCGCTTGCCTATATCACCTTCCAACTACAGCGGCTCTGGAGGCTTCACTAATTCTATGCTGGCAATCCTCGGATGGGCGGCTGGGGGTACGGCCTAGATGCTTCTGAGACCATGTATGGGACCAGGGATCAGCGTGACAGCAGGTGCGTGCGTCAGGCAGCTAGTGCTGCCCCGTTTATTCAGTCCGTCACATTTAAATACACTCTGGGCAACGCCTCTTTGATCAACACGCGATAGCATCAAGATCGGGCGAAGCCCCTTGAGTTTATCGTGCGTAGCGCACAAGTGAGGCGCGATACGATACAGGGCTCACAAGGGCCTTCGGTGGGGCAGAGTGTAAGGGCATCTGAGGCTGCTCCCCGTAAAGGGGATGGCGGTGTTTGAAATTGAAATTGACAATGAATTGAAATTTTACTTCGGAACAAAGACATGTTGCGAGGAGGGCAGGTAAGAACTGTGAAAACAGCTTGGGTAGCTCTGGCCCACTAGCACACAAGGTAGCAGAGAAGACGTGCTGCTAAAGACAAACAAAATAAAATTGTTTCGCAATGTGCATCAAAAAAGAAATAATGAAAGATTACAATACAGAAATGAAACATGGGGTCACCAGATCTCCTCATTATGCAAACATTATTGCAACTGTTTTAGTGATATGCTAGATATGTTATTGTTATGTTTCCTGAGAAGGCAGTTTAGAAGTCAAGGCAGCTGAAACTTTGACATTTGATTTTCGTATTTTGTTGTACATTTTGATATATACCACACTTCAGGATGACGTGCATTATAAGCCGGACAATTTTCCTTCAGCCTAGCTATTGTAGCAGTCATATCCGTATTTTTAAATAAAGCGAATTTATATAAACGACTTAGTTTGTAATCATATATTGATTCAACCTGAATGGTGAGGCTATTTTTAAACGATTCTGCTATGTGGAAGCGATGTGGTACTTTAACGGCAAGACGCAGAGCTTCCTTTTGCAAAATAGTAAGGTTGCCAACGTTTGCACTTGTCGTGACGAACCATAACGAAAAGACTTAATTCAATAAAGAAGGAAACGAGTTATATATGAGCATGTTTGCAGAAACAAGAAAATAGTAGCAATGGATGGCGCATAACACCAATCATCTGAGATAGTTTTGTAATATATTAGGGTTCACGTGATCATACCATGTCATGTATATTGAAAAATACACTCCTAATGATTTAAAACTTATGATTACTTCAGTTTCTATGTTATTTGTACCTTGGTACTCTAGGCGTGTCCAGGGCACCGTCGAAGGCCGTAGTGGTGCTGATCCCCTCGCACCACTTCGGCATGGAACGAAGTTATGCGAGGGGGTGTGCTGCCTCGACCGAGTCCTTTAAAGGTCTAATCACCCGGCATTAAGCTCAACCCTGCGGGAACCACGCGTACCGGTTATCATGCGATAGCACCACGCGTTGCGCAGAAGGGGTGGGCGTGGCCCATTGGCGCTCCTCAAAAGGGCCTGCGTGCTGGCCGGGTGAGAGACGCCTTGGCTGCCACGAAGACTTGAAACTTTCACCCACACTGCCTGAATGCTGCTTCACAGAATAATGATCGCTGCATAGATGTCTCGCCCCTGAGCCGGCCGTGCCGTTTACCTGGTGGAGTAATTAGGTGTTGATATATGTTTCCACATGAAGCCTCCGGCGTGCTTGCTTTGCCCACAGGCAAGACGCAACAAGCCCGATACTCACCGTTGGCACCCATCGTGGTTTTTGCACTTGGCCGTGGGAATGGCATGGTGGACATGGGCCAGGACTTCTGTTTAGTTGCCGAGCTGTCGACTACAGGACCTTTTTTGTGCATGTTTTTTGTGTGGCGTTTTTCCTCCACAGGGCACAGGCAGACGAAAATCAGCTCTGTTCAAGGACGATCTTGCCCACCGGCGACAAGAAGAATTCATCTCTCCAGCTGGCGAAACTGCTGCAGGCACATCCATTGAACATATTTCAGCGTGTCGCTGAGTTATGCAACATGGGCCTAGACCACGTGAGCAGTCTGGCCGTAGAGCTACAAAGAGTACGTGAGCCACAGCTCGGACCACAGGCCGAGCCACCCACCTATACAGGCTGACTTCCTAGACGAAATAGAAAGCTATGATATTGCTGCGGTAGCCTAAGAAGCGTACGGGATAGCTCGAATACTGCCGCTGGCTTTACGCGATGCCAAAGGACAGTGGTGGAGGCTACAATCGCCTTTCACCACACGGGCACTTTCTGAAGGCATTCCGGCAAGCTGATGGCAGGGAGGACGAGAAAAATGTCTGACGTGCGTTCACAGCACTTCCCCATAATATAAGTCTGCATTGAATGGCCGCAAGCACAGAGGAGTGCACAGAGGAATTTCAACCACACGAACGTGTACAAAGCGTTAAGCTGCCAACTCCTTTCACACTTCACATTGTGCAATCAGGATCTTCTGCCACGTGACACCGCGTCCCTTAAGAGGCTCTAAACCACCTCTGATATTTTTTTCAAACATTTTGAGTGAACATTGTGTGCAGAATGCCGTCATGATCACTGATGCCACACGAGGCAGTGCAACAGACTTGGCGTCTCAACAGAGGTGCGAACACCTGTGAGACTTCGCTGCTACCAATCGTAGTGGATGCGCAAATACATTTAATCAAACGAGAACCTGAAATCATGTTCTCAGTGTTACTTGAATACTTACTTGTTTGACCGTCCCATTGCAGGATTTCGGCACTTTCAGCATTTCTGGGGCTCTCGTAACTTTCAGACCTTTCGGAGATTCCGAATACAGAACCGTGTGGCGCTTCAACGTCAAGGTCATCACTTCTGACTGTGGGTCCATCACTATCCAAGGCTTCGGGAGGGTTGTCTGAAACATTTAGTGAAGAAACAAGGAGAAATATCTTGGCCCTTTGTGCATTATCTAAGAAGTATTGAAGGGAAAAATCATCTCAGTTCAGCTCTCTCTAGCTGTAGGTAAATTGTGGTAAAATACCGCTAATCTTTGTACTAACCGCCACTATGACACATAGTCTCCCTTATAGCCTCTTCGCCCCTCCTCTACGCTTTTCAGAGGCAACCGTTAGTCTTCTTTGAGGGTGCTCTCAAAAACACACAGCTGGAATTTTTCTTTGTCTGTGGGTTGTTGATGTTTTTGCGCTCTTGGTTTCTAGCCGGAGCACCACGTGCTAATAGTGGTGCGCGCTTTGATTTATGTGGTGTGAGCGCTGCGACCGTGCGATGACTGGAGCAATGAGTGCGAAAATGGTTCTTCGATTTTAATAATACCTCATTGTATATGCTAAAATATGCGCTAAAAGCAGTAGCTACACAATGTTACACGAAAAAAGGTTTGATCTGATAAGGAAGCCCACAGAAAACAGGCGGCTCACTACCACTGAACAAACGTATTCACAAGCAAGTGTTTGGTGAGTGGCCTCGCCATGACCCGAGCCAACGAGGGGGTTTTCAACCTCCGCTTACGTGTCGCTGTGCGTGGCTGCGCCGTGTTTAGAGAAAGGGGGACCCTGGGGGTTGAGCCAACGCCGCGTGAGGGCATTTTTAGGGTCCTCCGGCTGAAGCAACGCACCTCTTTGGCCCCGGGCTTCCCGTAAACAGTGCCCCTGGGGCGACCCACCCAGGGGAACCGTCAGTTACCTTTTCTTTTCTCTTTCTCTCTCCCTACAATTTTGTTTTTCTCTCTATTTTACTCTTTTCTGACTTCTACTTTTGTCAATTACTTCTACTTTTTCATTACTTCTAGTGTTGCTCAACCTAGGGCAGTTACATTATATTAGAGCGGCGATGCATACTTGGTGACACTAAGAGTTTGTTACTCAACCTTTTAGCGTTCCCTTGTTGGGCTCCGTGCTAGGAAGCCACCATCGCACCGAACTTTACAGTCTTTATATGGCAAATGATTTCCTTTATCTCCTGATTGCTCCCCGAAAAGGTGACGCATCGAAGACACGTTTATGCTAAACAGTTCTTACCAGATCCAACCAAAGGATCAAACTGTTTATTTCATTTGGCTGAACCACTCAATGAATAGTCCGAGTACAGCAGCACATTCTGGCACTAATATATATATATATATATATATATATATATATATATATATATATATATATATATATATATATATATATATATATATATATATATATATATATAAAGGGACGTGTTCTTCGGGGGCCTCGATCATTGACATATATAAGTACGTGATTTCTATGCTCTCTATTCCCAGACAAAGGCCGGTCCCCCGTCCGCAACGTCGAACTAAACCGTGCTAAAACGGTCGTTTTGGGTGAATTACGCTTCTTTCTATACTATCAGAGCCAGCGTGATAGTCATTATAGCCCTTCTACTTACCCGCAACGGCTCTTGTCACGAAAACGTCAGAGTACATCATTTTAAACCATCCCCAAGAAGAAATTTCTACGGTCACCATTGGTGATTCTTAGTCCAAGTACGTCCGCCAGCAATTCGACCCATGTTCAAGAGGGACTCCCACTTCACCTCTCAAGTGGGTGCGCACAACTCCGGCGTGCGGTCTTTACTTGACCTTGTGCCAGAAACCGCAACCGCCCTCATTCTCCACGTTGGTAAGAACGACATCGCTTCAACAAGTGCTTCTGTAGCATTCGGAAGATACCGATCCTTGCTGGCGCTCGTCATGAACTCCAAGCCTCACATTTCAAGGATTTACGCTACACTCGTTCTTCCACGCTGTCTTCACCATCGTAATAGGAACCGAAACCTTGCTTTTGTTTACTGGTGTAATATGAAAGCCACGAACTTCAATCGACTGCTATTCAACTACAGCAGGCGCTCCAGGAAAGCTTTTTTCGTCGATTATGGTCTCCACTGGCTGCTGCTGACACGTGTGTTGGAAGCTGAGTGTCTTCATCTGTGCTTAGAAGGTGTTGCCATCATCGCCAGCAACATTCGCGAACTCTGCTGCAAACGTTTTTAAGGAACTACTTTATCATGGCACGACTGCCCACCGTGTGAACCCCCACAACGCTCCACACAGACATCTCCCGGTAGACGCAAACAAACGTCCTGTTTGGGTGCTACACACAACTCCACTTCTTCAAGTCAAGACACAACCCGGCGAAACCGAACTGAGGCTCCCGCCACCGTGCCTCATCGCTACCCTACCCGCCGAAACGCCAGTAGAGGGAGTGCGACCGACTGACGGCAGGCGCCTGCGTTTAAAAGCACTGTATCAAGTCTTCCTTCACGAGAGTTCTCAAAAGCTACGAAAATTGCAAAGTTCGTTCCGAGCTACACGTATCCTCACTTACGAGCTACTTGAATGCTACGGTAGTCCCGAAAGGTTAACGGATAAGATTCAAACCAACTATTTTCAAACTTTCGGCCTCTAACAAAGCCAAATGGCAAGAAGTGTTAAGTAAAGCGTCTTTAGATCTCATACATATAATAATTAACCTTTATTAGTCTTGCAAGCAAAACATTATGCATAGAAAAGCTCGCCTGTTAAATAAGCTAGGACAGCATGAGTATGAACGTATAATTGCCCATGATGAACGTAAGCTTACACGTTAAACACAACTAAACACAAGAAGTTTCTAGGTGATGGCTTAAGTACGCACAAGCGCGAATTTGAGGCGACCAAGTGCGCTGCAATACATTTTATTGGTATGATAGACCAGTCTTCTCAAATCGATAGCAACGTTGTAAACTTTTCGAAAATAGTTCTTTCGAACGAACAAGTGGGCGCTCTGTCAAGGGGCCTCAACTTTTGCCTCCCTTCAGGTGGCTTCAATGAGTTTCAACTTGTGAAGGATCTACACAATTTTCTCATAATTTGCGCCTCAGAGAATACTATCATGACCGCTGAAGCCTGAACGAAACCCGACCTGCACTACCGACATATAAACAATGTACACCTCCTTCACACCACGACATTTGCCTAGACATGTACATAAACGCTGTACAACGGGACGTTTTGGCTGCCTATAAGAAAACGATGACTTACCGCCACGTTTTGTCTAAAAAGACAAAGTTGCTCTCAAGGAATTGTCGACAAATCGTGACATCGTCATTAAACCAGCCGATAAAGGGAAGGGGGCTATTGTGATTCTCAACATGGTTGATTATATAAATAAGGCCGAAAGGCAACTTTCAGACCACACCTTTTACACAGCTTTACCCTCCGATCCTACCAGCGAATTTAAATCGAATCTTAAGGACGAACTTACATCTCTACTAGAACATGTTAAATTGGGCGAAAAGACAGTCCGCTCTTTGGTACCACTCAGTCCCGTAACGGGAAGATTTTACATGCTTCCTAGAATTCACAAGCATAATAATCCGGTTGCCCCAGCATTTCTGGAATCGGCACTGCCACCGGCAATTTATCTCGCTACATTGACTCCCTCATAAACAAGATTCCAGCCACATTTCCGTCATTCATCAAAGACACCAATCATTTCCTTCAAGAAATTCTAGATCTTCACGTTCCACCTGGTTCAATGTTAGTAACGCTGGACGTAGCATCACTATACACCAACGTATCACATAAAGGTAATATTTCTGCAGTAATAAAATCCTATGAAAGTTCCCCTTTTGATAAACCTAGTGAGAAAGTAGCGCTTGGTGCTTTTTTGAAACTGATCCTTGAATTAAACAATTTTGAGTTTAACAACATTAACTACGTACAAGCCAACGGCACCTCAATGGGTATGAAAGTAGGCCCTAACTATGCCAACATTTTGATGAGCATTCCGGAAGGCGAATATTTCGGTAAAACCATGCTGCAACCTCATTATTATAGGCGCTTCATTCATGATATTTTTCTTGTATGGACGCATGACGAAGCAAGTCTGTTTGGTTTCATTCAAAAGTTTAATACTTTCCATTCGTCTATTAAGTTCTCGCACCAATTTTCGTGCACTTCTGAAAACTTTCTCGATGTCATAGTCACTATTTTAAAGGAAACTTGCCACAAAGTTGTTCTGCCAGCCCACTGACTGGCATCACCTGCTACATTCTCAGAGCGGCCACCCCCGGCATTGCAAAACAGGAATATCCTATAGCCAGGCTCACCGTTTTAAACGATTGTGCTCTGACCGTACAGATTTCATTGGAAGTTGCACTAGGCTCAAATGTTCTCTAGTAAAAAGAAAGTACCCAAAAAAACTAATAAACGATGCCATAACTCGAGCCGACCAATTGAACTGCACCGAGATTCTGAAAGGAAGTGACGGGAACGATAGCTCTAATCAAACTAATCTTGTTCTAACATTTTCATCGTCAGCTCCTAAGGTCTCGCTATATTGAAACGGCACCACAACATCTTGACACAAAGTAATAATTTTAAAAGAAATCTTTCCTGGGCCACCTCGTGTTATTTACCAATGGCCAAAAAACCTTCACGACATGTTAACGTCATCTAAGATTGGTGCCCGTAAAGAGTGTGGCTGCGCCTCTTAGTACAAACCGCGGTGCAAAGTATGTGTGCACATGCAAACCACGCAAAACGTCCCGAGCACGTCTTCGTATTTTAATTAAAGATTCATGATATATTTGACTGTGACACTAATAATGCCGTGTACTTGTTGGAATGGTGTGCCTGTTTACATTACATTGGTCCCAATAACTTCCCCTATACACTCCTTGGCATTATTGTCTGTTGGATCTCATTATTATTGTGTCAAAGCATGGAAAAACGAGCCCTTAGGATACACTTCAAACTCTTATTCATTAACGAGGGTCACGTACTCACAGACTTGGTGCCGCTAGGTTGCATACGAGGGACTATTGGTCTGCTGCCAGCTCGTAATAAGTTCACGTGCTACGTGACGACACACAAACTCTTAAATAGAGTGTTCCACACTCG